TGGCTGAAGTCTAGAAAGTCTCCTAGGAAAAAATGTAAAGCTCAAAAAAAAAAAATTAGAGGGTGTAGTTTAAATAAGATGGACTGATGGAGAAGCTAAACCAGCAAACAATGAACTAATTGAAGGGAGAACCAAAGATAACTCAACACCAGCAAAAACTTAAGACAGGTCAGTAGGAACATCTGTGCAGGCGTTGGGGAGGAGCTGGGAGTCTCATTGCCTCTGTGAGGTTTGTACACACACGGCTCTCCTGCTGGGACAAAACATGCTTCTGGCTCACAGAGTCATGATTGTCACCTCCTGTGAATGTTAATCTCATTCCAAGTGAAGCTGTTTATTTTTTCTGAATAAAACATTATTGGTGTTTTTGAATGCATAAAGCTTCATGTGGCTCTGAGTTAACTGTCTTTATTTTTCCCTCGAATGGCCAGAGAATACTGACTTACTGTTTTTTATGCTCTGAACTCTTAACTTCCCGGCTCTTATGTGTGAGAACTGTTCCTCTTTTTTTAGGTAACTACATATTGAGGTGCCATGGTTTAACCCAGCAAGCAGCTGAACACTGCAAAGCTGCTCGCTCAAGTCCTCAGTGGGAAAGGGGGAAGATAATTGGGAGAGTAAAGGAAAAGAACTCATCTGGCTGAGATAAAGATTATTTAATAATTAAAATAAACCAAATTGGAATAATAATAATAATGATGAATTGTAGTAAGAATAGGAACAACAATAATAAAGCAATCATAGTTACCCTCAGCTCACAAACAGCAGTCACTGTCCGTACACCAATGAAAACGAGAAAAGGGAGGAGAAAGGCTCAGGAACTGAGATGGGCTGCCACCATGGAGGAGAAGGGAAGGGATCAAAGGGAGATTGAAGGGAAGAAGAGTGAACCCCTGCAAAACCCCCAATTTACAGGGAGTGTGACATGTATGGAGCAGAATACATCGCTGTTGGTCAGCTTGGATCACACCCAGATCACTTGGCCTGAGTCACCTGTCCCAGAAAATCCTGGACTTTTGCTTCCCCCCACCCTTCTTGTGCAGTGAGAAGGAGAGAAAGCCAAGTGAAACTATAACCACAGGTGCAGGTGAAAGACTGAAAAACAAACCTTGAAAAACGTAGACATCTGCTGGCGAGAACAGAAACAAAACCAAATCTTATCAGCTACTGTAAGGAAAAAAATTATATCCCAGCAAAACCAGGACATCAGGTTTGGATTGAGGTGGATCAAATGACACTAGAGAGGATGAAATAACATCAGGTGAAGTGTGTAGGTAAAATGCCAGGCTTCATTGTGAATTATCCATCGGTACTGTAAAGTGTAGCACCCAGGCGGCTGGGGCAGGCTTCTGTCCTGGTGCCAACCACAGGACGTGTCCCTGTCACCAGCTCTGCTGCTCCTTCCAGGCAACCCTGCAGCCAAGGCCAGGGCTACCAACACATTTCTGTGCACCTCAGCTGACAGTGTTGTAACAGGGAACACAAGCGTCTGCAAAGCTGAGTTGCAAAGCTGGGGTTTGATTGTGTCCTGGGCTGCTGGCCATGACAGCTTGCTGCCCTGCCACCAGCTGGGTTCACTGTACGAGGGGGTGAAGCTGTGTCTGCCTTCATCCCCTTACCTTACACAGGAAATTCAGACTCCCCCATGGTGGTGTAACCGTGCAGTGCCAGTAATTGTTCCCTTGAATCTGTGTTTCCATCTCCCAGTGTGGAGGACGGCAGACTCACCCAAGATTACTGTCCTTCTCTTGGCCACATCCTTCTTGATCTGCAGCTTTGGCTCCCTGTGGCCAGCCTGAAGGGTAGGAGGGAGCACCCATCCCCGTGCCATGGGCCCATATTTCATACTCTCATACAGCTCACGGCTGAGCAGTCTCAACACTCGAGACTCTCTGCCCACTCTGTGTTTAACTTCTCTCTTCGCTGCTGCTCCTTCCATCCGTTGCCTCCTGGACAACCCTGCTTTTCCCTTCCTCTCTGTGACCTGACCTCACTTCTTGCTGCTGCACCTCTCTGGCTTGCCCTTGCCACGGCACTGACCCTGCAGCAAGCAGCTTTTCTTCTTACCGCGTTCCCTTTGTATTCCACCCATCCTGCTGTGTCATTTCAGGTTATCCTTCTGTCCCCATTGATTTTGAGTGGTTCTACACGCCTTTTCATACCCTTTCTCAAGTAGCAGGCGATGTCTCTAAACTTAAAACCCTAGAAACTTGATGCTATCCTATTGCATTTCTTTGCAGGGCCATAGCCTGAGTTCCCCTGTACCTAGACTTCATACAACATTTAGTAAGAACACCAGTCCGTTACTTAGTTCACTCCTCTGAGAAGGGCTACAAGACTCAGTTCAGGCTGACTCCATCAGAGTGCACAACTGCAGGCGGAGTGTGACCAAGAAATCAGCTCCAATTTGCATTCCCTCTCTGCCTCCACACCTTCACTTGCACATTCATAACCACAGCCATTGCCCTCCCTCTGCTTCCCACTGTTTCTGGGCTCATCTGCACCCAGAAGCTACGAGCAGCAGCTCAACATTTAGAAGCAGTTATGTAGGCAACACAGCTGCTTTCCCTCTGCCCAAGTCTGCTGTGCTTTCTTTGAGAAGCACCAAGCGAACCAAGCCTTTGAAACGTTCATTAATCTCTCATGAAAATAAAAACACCTAAATGTTCAATAATTTACATTTTGGACAAATGCCCTTTTCTTCCTAAATGCTGTCATGGATGAGTGGAATGCACCTTGCTCAAAAGAGAGGAGCAGCAATATGTTTTATTGAGGTAAAATAGTAAATTGCCAGAGTTCAATAAATTCAGTGGAATTTAACAAAGTTTAACAGTCGTGTATCAAGGTTCAGTAAGGTTGATGGCAAGGGTCACCTTATTAATTACTGCATGGAAGAAACATACAAAGGAAAAACGCATTAGAATCAAGTTAGAATGATTCACATAGAGACCAGAGACACAGAGAGTGAGGGAGACCCTCCCGTTGAGTCAGGAGGTTCAGAGTAGACCCCCTTGCTTTCTAAACTCCATATGGAGCCTAGGTGTGACTGAGGCGAACCTTTGTCTAAGCCTTGGACAACAGTTTATGTCTAATGGAGTTTTCTATACAAAGATTATAATAATTAACACTGAGTAACTCCATGGGTTAGTAATGTTTCATTAGTATTAATTCAGCATGAGATCAGTCACTTACCAAGGATCTCTTGTAAGGGATCTCTCCGCCTTGGGCAAGAAGGATCTCTTGGTCTCAGGTAAGGAATCTCAAATCTTAAGAGGCGTCTGTGCTCAAAGGCAGAGCTACCTGGCATGCAGTTGAGAAGTGTGTTATATGTGCACTGGCACATGTACCCGAACCTGGCACACTTCTGTCGGCAGCAGATTCCTTAAGGTTTGTTCTCAGTTGTCTTCCTTCATGACCAAAGCAAG